GAGGGAGGGTAGCGCGGGTGGCCTGCACCCGGGCGGGGAGCCGGGCCGGGCCGGCTGCACCGAGCGGGGTCAGCTCTCCGGGGAGGGCTTCTCCCGGGGTAACGCAGGTGATGCCGTTGCAGGTGCGCTTGGCAATAGCTGAAAAAGCCTTGAAGTGCGAAGAGCACGATGTAAACCTGCCGCTGAGCGAGCACAACGAACCATGGTTCATGCGCTTAAATTCCTCCGGAGAAGTACCTGTCCTCATCCACGGGGAAAACATCATTTGTGAGGCAACGCAGATTATCGATTACCTTGAAGCAACGTTTGTAGATGGTAATCCCATAGGCATTTCGGTGTGAAATCCTTCCCCACGTACCCATAGTGTGTAGCAGTGCTGGGGTCAGCTCCCTATTCACTACGTGTTGGTTCGTTCGGGACCAGAAAATATGTATAGTTTCACAAGTAAATGGTCTCTCTTAATACTTAGTGGTATGGGGTGACACCACGTTCCTTTAAAATGAACTAAAGGCCTTCCAGCACCTTTACAAGCAGCTGTAGGTAGAAACCTGGCGCTGACCTTACCCCTTCCGGAAGGATGGAGCAGTCAGTAATGGCAGCACTGCTCTGTGCTGACCCTGGGGTGAGACTGCCGCGAAAAATTGTGTGTTGAACAGAGCGCTGCACGGCTTCTGCTGTTGTGGGGCAGCTCCTGCTTCTCTGTGAGTAAAAAAGATGTGCATTACAGTTTAATTCTAGAATAATCTTGGAGGGAGGAAGGAAGTGGAATGAGTCTGTTATTTTTGGAGCCAATACGGAGTGAAGAGGTAAAACGGTAGGAAGAAAAAACTCAGAAGTGATTACATGCAGGCTTTTGAAATTCCTTGTGTCTGCATTGCTGGAAAATAGACTGCCTCAAATTTTTGAAGAAAATGCACAGTTGGTTTTTTTTTTTCCTAGGTGTGAAGAGGCAGCATTTTGTGTTTCAAGGCTTTAGTGCTGAGATCTCTAAGCCATGGAGAAAACTTCATTGTGAGAAACATAACATGTATTTGACGCTGGCAGGTTCATCAAATGAAGAGTCGGGGCCCAGACAGAGGGCCGGGTAAAACTCAGTCATGTGCAGGAATACTTCTAATCATGCTTTGAGTAGGATTCCTGTACTGTAATTCCGACAGCATTGCAGCTGTAGTAATGTTTCAGCCATAACAACTTACTAGAACCTCAGTTGTGCCCTACTATGAGAGGGCTAAAGGGTTTCATACCGTGGTCGCCCATTTCTAGAAGTACAATATAGATGCTAAATCCCATTGTCTGATATGAAGGCCTGTGAAATACGTGTTTATGTGGGTTGCTGCATAGGAATTGGAATTATTCAAATGTTTTAAAATGAAGTACATGTAAACAGTGAGGTGGGTTGAGAACTGGCTGAATGGTAGAGCTCAGAGGGTTGTGATAAGCAGCGCAGAGTCTTGTTGGAGGCCTGTAGCTAGCGGTGTGCCCCAGGGGTCAGTACTGGGTCCAGTCTTGTTCAACATGTTCATCAATGACCTGGATGAAGGGACAGAGAGTACCCTCAGCAAGTTTGCTGATGATACAAAACTGGGAGGAGTGGCCGACACACCAAAAGGCTGCACTGCCATTCAGCAAGATCTTGACAGACTAGAGAGTTACGTGGAGAGGAAGCTATTGAAATTCAACAAGGACAAGTGTAGGGTCTTGCACCTCAGGAGGAATAACCCCAAGCACCAGTACATGTTAGGGGTTGACCTGCTGGGAAGCAGTGCTGCAGAGAAGGACCTGGGAGTCCTGGTGGACAACAAGCTCTCCATGAGCCAGCAGTGTGCCCTCGTGGCCAAGAAGGCCAATGGTGTCCTGGGGTGCATTAAGAAGAGCATGGCCAGCAGGTCGAGGGAGGTTATCCTCCCCCTCTACTCTGCACTGGTGAGGCAACATCTGGAGTTCTGTGTCCAGTTCTGGGCTCCTCAGTCCAAGAAAGACAGGGAACTACTGGAAAGAGTCCAGGGGAGGGCTATGAGGATGATGAGGGGACTGGAGCATCTCTCTCGTGAGGAAAGGCTGAGAGAGCTGGGTCTGTTTAGCCTGGAGAAGACTGAGAGGGGATCTGATCAATGCTTATAAATATCTAAAGGGTGAATGTCAAGAGGAAGGTGCCAGACTCTTTTCAGTGGTGCCCAGTGACAGGACAAGGGGCAATGGGCACAAACTGGAACGCAGGAAGTTCCATCTCAATATGAGGAAAAACTTCCTCACTTTGAGGGTGACCGAGCACTGGCACAGGCTGCCCAGAGAGGTTGTGGAGTCTCCTTCTCTGGACATACTCAAAACCTGCCTGGACACAATCCTGTGCAACGTGCTCTAGGTGATCTTGCTTTAGCAGGGGAGTTGGACTAGATGATCTCCAGAGGTCCCTTCCAACCCCCACCGTTCTGTGTTTCTGTGGTATGTTTCGCTGAGCTGTGATAACACTGTTGAGTTACAGTGGGGAAGAAGCAAAGCTTTCTTAACTGTGGCTGTGTCATCTGTGCCAGTTGGATGTAACTGAAGTAACATTGGAAATACTCCTTTTGATCAATTACATGGTTCTTCTTAACTTTATTTGTAACTTTGTATTGCAGAGGAAGTACCAAGGTTAATGCCAGAAGAAGGGAGCATGTATTATCCAAGGGTGCAACACTATAGAGAGCTTTTAGACTCCTTGCCTATGGATGCCTACACGCATGGCTGCATCCTGCACCCCGAGTTAACAGTGGACTCCATGATTCCAGCCTATGCTACCAGCAGAATTCGTAGTATGTACTGGTATAGCTCTGAATGCCTATCAGTTAATAGGATGTTGTGTTACGTTCATCTTGTGTCTTCAGTGCACCTTAAGCGGAATATATTGAGCACATATTTCCAATTTTAGTTGCAGTCCTTGGTAATTTGTGCATATACTTTTTATTGATTTTGTAGTCTGTTATGATTTGAAAACAGTAAAGAGGAAGTGACATTTTCGAGGTGTCTATGGAATTAATTTTCCTAATGACTGAAAATGTGCTTCTTGTGCATAACAGAAAATGGCAGCTGTGACAGCTGTGCATATTTTATTTTCTGATCTTGCTCTTTATGCTTATAAAGCAATTTCTAGGGAACACCTCTATTACTGTTCACATCAAACCACTACATTGAAGGAAACACATTTTTTTGTGTAAGTAAACTTGTAATAAGTTTACCTATTAAATTAAAGCAATTGCTTTCCTCTGCAAGTGGTGCAAATGCAGATTAGCCTCAATGAAACAGAGTCTGTTTATCTAGTATATTACAAGAGAATCATCAGGCCCTTTTTGTCTGAGGAATGTACTAGTGTCACCTTGGTGCCAGAGGTAGGGAAAAAAAAAAGGGTGAAAAAGTAAGTGGCTTGGGTTCGTCTGACCAATGGAAATTGTTAAAGCACAATTTAAACTAAAATCCTGAGTGCAAATAATGCAACAATATAGAATTGGGATAAAGCATGAACTGGTGATCTGGTAGAATCAATGGTAAAATGCCCTTTGACTTCCTTGGGATCAGTATTTTACCTGATGGACTTTTATATGCATACCAGTTTCCCATGAAAAAATATGTTAAAGGAAGAGGAAATAACTGTAGGTTATATTGCCCAGTCCCCTGTATAACAGAGAGCCTCCTGAAATGAACTGTTTCAAATCTAGGAGTTTGCAGAAATACTTAGTTTAAATAACATTCAGTGATACTCAGAAAAATCCTTGGCAAATAATCTTTCAGTTCTCGTAGCTCTTTTTTTTCTTCTTTTTCTTCCCCCCCCCTCCCCCCCGGGTTTGGACAGCAGAACTGGACAGCAGATTCTGTTCATTTTGTTATCAGATAGGGAGATAAACATTTAATTTTTTTTTTTTTCCCTGTATGTATGTTCAAGGACTCCAGCGTTACTTTCAGCCACAGAACTGTACTGGGAATCCTTGTTCAGCTGGTCATGAACCATGACCTCAGTCTAGTTTTTCAGAATTGCTTGCAAACTTACAGCTCTCTTGCCAAGAAACGTGGCCTGTATCTTTTCTGAACTGTATCTTTTGGTTCAGTTTATATTTTAGGTTGGATTGTGTCAAAATATTGAGTGGTTGCTTAGGTCCAGTTTATCAACCAGTCCAGACCGCTGGGTATCTGTGCCATGATTTTTCTTGATTTAGTCCCTTCTAGTCTTTGTACCATGGCAAACTTTAATTCATGCTTTTATGTTTCCTTCTAAGTATTACGAAAGAGCTAAATAGTTCTAGGACAAGGATCAAATCCTGAGAACATGGTTGGATGATGATTCCCTGTTTACAGTTATGTTCTGAGATGTCTGATTTTTTTTGTCAAAGTCAGTGCTTTATATCATGTTGATTTTTTTGGTATAGTTTAGAATGCTCTGTAGAACAAAGTCAAATACTGCAGAGACTTTGAAATGTAGTATAACTATACTATTACTAAATTCATAATATCAAAAGATGATGCTGTGTTAGTTTTAGAAGTTCTATTTCCCACAAACTGTGTTATCCTCCTCCTTAAAATTTTTGGCAAGTCAGTTCTCTTATGAGCCACGTCATTATGTTGTCAGAAGTGAAGTCAGGCAGTTAGTTTTCCTTATAGTTGCATGTGTTATCCTTTATAAAACATCAGCACAGAATTAGTTTTCTTTCTGTCTGCTGGAAACTTCTTGAGCATTGCAAAGTATTGAGAAGTCAGTGTTGGTGGTCCAATGATGAATGGTTATTTAAAAAAAATTCTCTATAAAACTATCTAGAGAGATTTAGAATGGGTAATTTCAGTAAGAGTAATTAGCATTCTTTTTCTTTACTGAAGTAACATGAATTATTATCTTAAATCAGTGTACAGTCTGGTTTTTTTTTTCCCCAAATGTGGATGACAACTGTTTATTGAACAGGCATTATTGATAGTTTTCCTGTTTTCACATGGTAATAGTCAGTGTTTTTATTATGGTTCACTTTTCAACCTTGTGTTCTGCTGACTGTATGTGTTCTTCTTCCCCTCTAGCTTTTAGTTGGTGTTAATTGTTGTCAGTTTACACACACACATTCATATTGGTAGAGCTAAAATTACTGCTTGTCTAAATAGGGTGTTTTCTTATCTTTTTATACTTAAAGCATAGCCTGCTTTCTTGATTCAAGGCATTTTTTGAACAGCTCGTGAATGTTCCTAAACAATTCCTTTGCTTGTTCAAACTTCTCCCAGATGGCTTAGTTTTCAGCTTTGAAAAGCTGATCTTTTTCAAAAAGTGCTATATGTAATAAGCCACTAGCCAGTTATGTGTTATGTTTATGCATACCAAATCAAATTAAGTAATTAATTGCATATATAGGATTTCAGTTGTGTGATTGCATCCCTCAATTTCTTCATATTCTACGTTGAAAGATGGCTTTCACAGTCATGTCAGCTTGAAACAAAGAATACATGAACCAGTGAGTTCATTATTCTCTAGCAATAATTTTTTATGAGCTCAATTTGTAAGACATAATTGGAACTAAACTTAATTATCAAGTACAAGTGAGAGGTAATTCATGCCCTATAATTATTCCTTTGTTCTCAGTTTATTAATAGAAATATTTATTTTTAGAAGTTAACTTATTATTCACTGTCTTTTGGTATTCTAGGTCTGTAAGTATGGCATTTTCAAGCAAAGCCCCATTTTAAGGAGAGAAAAGGCTATACACATATAGTAGAAATCATTAAAATTATCTTAAATTTTTCACGTATTTTTTTCTTTAAGTCAGTCATGTAATTAATGTTTTTCTAGAACATCCATATACTCTGTAATAAACATTTCTAAAAGGGATCACAGGTGTCACATTTTAGCTAACTGATAAGACCTTGGTTCCATATTCAGTGATATTTAGGCTTTTGCTGTGGAATTATGCACATGACCTACAGTCACCTACTGAGAAAAACTCAGTATGGGCCTATCTGCATTTTCACAGCATGAAAAGTGTGTTAGGAACCCAGGAACTGAGGTACAAAAATATCAGACACCTAAGGTATTTGTAGTTGAATTTCATGATTTAGCACCATTTTTAGCAGAAAAATGGTTTTATCTGAATAAGAGAGAAATATTAACAAGAATTCCTCATTCTTGCCTGGCTTCGTAGAGTTCATTGCAAATGGATGAGCAGAAGGTGTGGTGGGTCAATTTATGCAGCAGTTAAGTTTTCCAAAGCATGATGTTTTTGAATCCCAACTTGATGATGATGCTTCATTGAAGTACCACTTCCCATTTCTTCAGTGTGATATTTGTACACAAGCTATTGATCAGTTCCAGTGGGTTGCATTATCGGTACATTTGGATATCTAATATCATTCCTTTGGTGTTTTTGTATCAGGCCAAATAAGTAACACAGAATCAGAGTTGAAAAAACTTGCAGAAGAAAATCCCGACCTTCAAGATGCCTATATAGCAAAACAGAAGCGCCTTAAAGTAAGAAAACTCTTTGTATTCTCCCCCTTTATTATAAGCTTGTTAGTGTCAGATTTTTTGTGTCATGATGTAAACATTTGTTTCACCTTTCATTACAAGTAATGTCATGCGGTGGTTTAACCCTGCAAGGCATGAAACAGTCTGTCCCCCAAATCAACTACACACTTCAAGTGTGTGCTCAAGCATTGGACTGGTCCCACTGACTTCAAAGGTAAGTATGTATCAGTGCTGGTGTTGGGATGTTGAGCACCCCTGCAGGGTGAGGCAAACCTCGATACCTAGCATGTTTTTCTTCTGTTATCTGAATTGTCACCAGTATCCAAATGGCATCCAGCTGACTACATGGAGAAAATAATCACATTTTATGGATAAGCACTGTAGTATCTAAGTAAAAGTTTCTCTGATAAAAGCATAAACTCTGTACAATGATTAAAACACTAACTTGTATCTATATTTAGTCTAAACTGCTGGATCATGATAATATAAAATATCTAAAGAAAATACTGGATGAACTGGAAAAAGTTTTGGATCAGGTTGAGACTGAATTGCAGCGGCGAAATGAGGAAACGCCAGGTGAGGAAGCATTCTTGCTAAATCCTGTTGATACTTATGTTTGGGAAGACTGAGTAAACTGGTTGACAGCACCATCGCAGGATGGGTTTTAAGGTATCCGATTTGAATCTGTTAGCATATACTGGCCTAACTTCACAGAAAGAATCAAATACTGTTTTAAATACTAGTTTAGGTTACTGCTGCTGTCAGTGAGTAGAAGTCTTATGAGAGTGCTTGATCACATTTTCAGCACAACGAGTATAATTAACTGCAGTTTTGCAATATTTTATTGGGGCTTAAGGGTTTAAGAAAACCCTTAACTACAGAATGTTATTCTTGATGTTGTAGTTGTAGGCCACAGTTCACTATAATGATCGTGACCTTACTATTTAACACAGGTTTATTAAAAGCTTGTTTAAATACTGTGCTGATATTTGTGGTATATGCAGAATTAGCTATCTGGATAAGTGCTCTAAGTATTAAACAACCTCCCTCCCTCCCCCTCTTGAAAAGCAGTGGTGTTTATGGGCTGTCCACCCAAATGAAAGTTGAATTTTGTTTAAATGGGATTAGTCTTCTGCTTATTCAGAGTTTGGTCCAACTCCCAGTGGTGCTAATAGGAATCCTTCTTCTGACTTCACTGGGAGCTGCGTGAAGCATCAGTCAATATCAACCACATCTGCTCAGTTTGATAGCTCTTTGCATTTGGCTCTGTAAATAGCTGTCGTAATAAGTATCTGTTACTATCAAGGCAGTAGAGTTGAACCAGGAATTGAAACTCTAGCTTATATTTTCTACTGGCTCACCAGCAAAAGAGTTGCAGAAAATGTTTTAACTCGCAAAGGGTGGGATTTTGATCAGGAAAGTCTGTCACGATTTCCAGCAGCCCCTTTTCTTTTTCTGCTGAAAAGCCTTTCCAAGGAGTCAACTGATACAGTATTGATGAGCTTACAGAAACCAACAAGATCACAGGATTTAGTAAAACATAGGACTATTACATGCCTCTTGGAATTTTGCCTGAGGTATTCACATTTTTTGGATTTGTGAACAATGCTTCTGCCAGGTCCTGGTCAACCTTTGAGCTTCTGCATCTCTTGCTACTGTGCAAATCCCTCATTCACTTACTGCTGCTGCCACTGCAGGCATCTTTCTTTCACACAGGTTAGCTTCTTTGGTCTTCCTTTCCATCATCTTACTTAATGCACTGGATGAATCCCCAGGTATCCTTTCAGCAACACAGGACAGACTCATTCTCTGCAGAGGCCTTTCTTCCAGACCTGCGTAACCAGCCGAAATGGACTGGTACCAGTGGTGTGCCAAACTGTTGCTTTCCTCTGGTGGCAAATGAGTTGAAAGGGACATTGCAAAATATCTCTGCTTCCACAGAGGTGCTGCTGAACATTCACACCAGCGGTTTTGTGTGCCTGTTTTGTGGGAAGAACTGCAAAAGGTTGCAAATGAGGAAGGAACGGCATAGACCTGTTTGAGATCTAGGCTAGAGCAGAATACTCATGCTGGCAGCTATGCTAACTACCAAATTTAATATGCTGGGTTTCCAAAGCTCTTGATATCGTCAGTATAGGTCAGCCCTTTCAGGTGACGGTGGTTCAGATCACTGAAGCGAGAGGTGTGATGCTACCCAGCAGTGCCTGCTCTGAGCCATCCCAGGAAGATTCACCTCTTTCCTTTGTCTGGGGAGGCAGCCTGAGGTCTCCATCTGTGCTCCTGACTAGTGGTGGGCAAGGTGAATATCCATCACTTGTCCAGCTTCTCAGGGTTTGGGGTTAGGAGGCACAAAGGAAGGATAGGTAGACAGACTCTCTCTTCTCACTGAGCTGGTGTGTTTGCTGCAGGTCAGTCATCTGTTCTGTATCTTTTTGACTTGAAAGTCTAGCAGTTCTTGAGTGAATGCCATAGAGCTGAGTGACACAGCAAGATGATGAATTCCTCAGGCAAGTGGTAGCTTTTCAGTAAAAGCAGAACTGCCTTCCTCCTTTCCACTCCTGGTTAATTTAATCCAGATTTGAGGAATGTAGTTGAGGAAAATAAGTGTTTACTGTCAGTTATCATAGAATCATAGAATGGTTTGGGTTGGAAGAGACCTTAAAAATCATCTAGTTCCAACCCCCCTGCTGCGGGCAGGGACACCCTCCACTAGACCACGTTGCCCAAAGCAGTTCTAATGTATGAACCGGAAATGTGGCTCTTTTTCCCTTAACAAGTATAGGCCAGGCTGCTGAGCCTAAGACTTTAGAGTACTGTGTGAAGAATGGACAGGGATTAGTAAAATGTTCATTGATTAAAGTCATATCTTAGCTGACGTGTTGGTGGTGTTTATTAGACAGCATTTTGAAACAGCACTAAACTAAGCGTTAGGCCATGGAGGTTTCTACGTGTGCTTGTATTCTGTTAGCTCCTAATTCTTTTTGTCTTATCTCTGCGTAGAAGATGAAAATCAGCCTTGGCTCTGTGGTGATTTCTTCAGTTTGGCAGATGTATCACTTGCCGTCACATTACATCGCCTGAAGTTTCTGGGATTGGCAAGAAGAAACTGGGGAAACGGAAAGCGGCCCAACTTGGAAGCCTATTATGAGCGTGTCCTGAAGAGAAAAGCATTTTACAAAGTTTTAGGACACGTCAACAATATATTAATCTCGGCTGTTCTGCCAACGGCGTTCCGTGTGGCCAAGAAAAGGGCACCCAGGGTTCTTGGCACCACCCTGCTGGTCAGCGTGCTGGCAGGAATGGGTTATATTGCTTTCATGTGTCTTCGGAAGAGGTTTACCAACATGATGTTATCAATTAGAACCAGGCAAAATTATTTTTAGACCTGTCTGTCCCTGGTGGTGAGTGAAGGGCATCTCTACCCCCCAGGAATATAGCCCCAGTAAAATATAAACGTAGAAGAAAGGTTATGTCTGTGAATTAGAACATTGTCACACAGTAATCATCTCCTGCTGTTGTATAATTGAATTGGCAATGCCAAGATATTTATGGAACATATATGTTGCAGGGACAACAAAGGAAAGAAGAGACTTTCTGTGCAGTTGAGGACCTATAAGGGCTACGACAGTGCTTTGTTAAAGTGATTATTGTCTCCTTTACCCACTAGCTGACCTAATTATAATGCTTTTATTTAATAGATATGCCGCAATGTGACAGCTTTTCGCTGTGGGTGAAATGCATTGCTGTGCAGAAACCAGCATTGTTGAAATACTGAAAATAGCACTTACTTTAAATGCTTGGAGTAGGATTTAAGCGGAACATAGGCTGTGGGCCTGTCGTGTATGAGAGTGATTGTCTCTGTACTGATTAATGTCTGTTGATTTGCAGTTGGACCTTTAGGAATGTGTTGAAAAGTAGTCTTGTGGAGCCACTTTTGTCACTGTATATTCATGCAATAGTACAGGAAGAGACCTGAAACATATATGAACATCAGTGATTTGCAGGCCACATGAGTGAAATTCTCCAGAGGCATCAGCAATCAACAGATGCTGGACTTCTGCTGAAATACAAATGGTACTGAAAACCCTGACATTTGTCTTTTGAAAGCCTTTTGGATAGCCTTTGGCCCAGCCAGGTGCCCAGCTCAGCTGTAAGCACTGGCTGAGTCAAACCCAACTATGTCGGTGCACATTTCCTGGTTTCATTGGGGTGGCTTGATACAGTTGTCTCCATATTAGTGTCCTAGGTACCCTTTCATGTTTCCAGACTACTACTGTTTTTTGCACACTACTTGGCTCTATTAGCAATTGCATGTGCCACTATGAAATTTTTGCCTGCAACATGCCACAGCCAACTAGAAAACATCTGCACAACAATGCATTTTGTGAAAGTAATTTAAAATAGTCCACTATCTTTCAATCTGGTTAGGTACCCTAGATTGAAGGTGAAACTGTAATTTAGCAATCCGTTTACTTTTGAAGAGGTGTCATATTGGTGGTAAGTGAAAAATAGGTCAGTTTGGAGACAGATGATTTGTACTGCAGATTTTTTGCAAAGCTGCACTCTTGTAGTATGTAGGAGAGGTGTAGAAAAACACTTTGATTACCTCCCACTACTCAGCAAATGCTCAGAGTTTTACTATGTTTGAACTAAGCTCCCGTTTCAATGAGAAACACAATTTACCTGAAAGCAGACTTTGAATCATTTTGCAGCACGAAAGCATTTGGGAAGGGCTGAAAATTCTCATGACAGTTTCATAAGATTTTTGTATTCCTGATGAATGTCTGAAAGCCTCAGAGTTTTGTTTACAAGCTGTAGATAACTGCAACAAACAAAGCATAGCTTTAAATGTTTGCCTATCAACAGCCAGCGCTAACAGGCCTAAGTACATTTTAGATCCAGTGCTGGTGGCTGTGGTCTCTGCACAATTGCTTTTGAGCAGCAAGAAGATCCTCTCTCAAGTTTGCTGGAGAGAACTGAGGCAGTTTCTGTCTGGGCAGTTTCACCATCTAGCAGATATCAAAATGGATAAAATTGTTGAATACTCCTGCTTATAATTTAATATTATGTTAGTTGTCTAGGAAAAAAAGACCTAAATCTCATTGCTCCTTTTCAGTAATAAGAAACATCTTACCTAGGAAACAATGCTTTTTTTTTTATTTGTCAAAAGGACAGTTTTATATAATTCTATTTCATGACCCAGTTGTTCTCAAGAACTTGTTGAATTAAATGTGCTCTATTTAGGAAAGCTTTATTATCCCTATTAATGTGCTGGCAGCTTTAACTGAGTTTGTTGTCTGTATATTACAGTTCATCTGCATTTACTTGTAACGAACAAATTCCACTAAGTTAATAAACACAGAGTAGGGTTTGCAACTTAATGCTTCCCTGGCATGCATTTCTGTCAGGCCATCTGTAAAGTATAATCTGATCAAGTCACGGTAAAATGCAATATATATGACTTTTTTAGAATTAATTTATATTTTACTTTTTCCTTCCTCTTTTTCTCAATGTGCTAGTTCTAGATAAAACCACTTATATTCCCAGAAGTGCACCAGTTTAGTTCACACGAGCAGCCCTGTGGGCTGTGACACAGGCTAATTATTGATGAAGCAGTTTTACTTCCCCCAAACCTCGGTGATCTCTGCGCTTCAGCTAGCACTCATTGCCTGCCAGGAGCTGGAGGTACTGTTGGAGAGGACTGCAATGACCACCAGATGTCAGTGGTCCTCCAGGGCTGCACTTTGTTGTGCCTTAAGATGTGCAGGAGAACACTAGTTTTCACGAACAAATTGCTTGTGACCTCAGCGTCAGATGGGTGGAAGCATCCTCATCAGACTAGCGGTCTTTTAAGAGCTTTTGAAACAACTGCTTTGGTCTGCTACAGGTTGGTTCTCTGGTACCTCTCATTTATGTTAGGAGTTTTTACACTGGATAAGTAAGAGGGCAAAGTTGAAATAATATTTCACATTAAAACGAATGTCACTGAACAGCAATTAAACTTGTCATCTGCAGGAATAAACATGGATAAAACTTTTACTGGGGAAAAGTTTGGATCCCTGGTTTCATTAATGTCTGTTAGTTCAAAAATTTGATAGCCTGCTTATTTTCACTGCCCTGAAGTACTCTGTGTGACATCGATTTCTGTACAGGTGGCAGCAAAAGGCTTATCCATGATTAAATTCCTCAGAATAGGATGAGATTTTTTAGAAGCACATATGCTGTATATGTCTCTGCACAGGATAGCTTTTGTGTGGTGCTTGTAAAGTTTCTTTTCAGCCTGGCTTACTTTCTTTGCTGTGGTACCTCTGGACACTATTTAGATTGGAAACACAAGCAATCTTCTGGTTTTCATTTGCTATTTGCTCTTGTATCATGCATCAGATATATTTCATATCATATCTTTGTATGTGGGACCTGCACAATAAACATCGATTCTAAGACCACTTTCTAGACTGGTTTATGTCTTCTGTGTCAGTAAAAAAAAGCATATTTGAGGATCAGACAGTATTGCTGTAAGGAGTCTGATGCTGTTCAAGGAGAGAAGCCTCTGGTATTTCAGTTTAGAAGGTGTTCAACAGATTGCCTTGCATCTATCTGGAAACAACAGTTACAATGGTAGTTTTCTTTGGTTGTCTGTCTGACGTGTATATGTAATGAGGCTTGACAGAAGCCCTTTAATAATGTTAAAAACCCATTTAAAGAAGGAGGGCAAGCAGGTTTTGTGCTTTCAATTAATCCATGCAAAAAAAAAGCTCCCCTTCTGAGTGTGACCCCGTTTCTTGCTTTATACTGTTGAGTTGGGGAAGCTGGGAATGTGCAAGACAAGCACATAAGCTGTGTCCACACTGATTTTGTCTTTAATGAGATCAAACAGTGTGCTGGCCGTAACGTTTTTTTGGGTTTTTTGGGTTGGTTTTGTTTTTTTATTTCGTCTTGCACTCTAACAGTCTGCATTGGACATTCTTTTAAGCAGAGGAAGAGACAACGTTACTTGAGGCTTGCACGCATTTCTTCTCAGTATTTCTAACGTCGGGAGAGCTGCTAGGACCAGATAGACAGCTGGTAGGGCTTGAGTTTCAGGAGATTATGACACCTATGGACCAACTTTGAGGTGGCTTTGATGTTAGCATTAATCAGAAGTATACACAGAGACCTTGCTGTGAAAAGCTTCTATCTAAACAGACAAGGAGCAAGAGCGAGTGGGAAGGTAAGTACAGCAAGTATAAATACCTTGCGTCCAGATTCACATAGCCGTATGTCCACTTTGGTCTATCATGTTTTTAAAGGCATTTTAAAATTAAATCTTAACTTTATGAGAGCAAGGAGCTACTAAGGTTTAGAGAGCAGATTGGCATGCCCTAATTCATGAGGATTAGGGATAGTAGACAGAAAGTAAGTGAAATGTAGTGGATTTAACTAACTGGAGCACACTGCTCTGCAATAAGGCATATTCTTTATGGAGGTCTCCTTATTATCTCTCTGTTTAGCTGGTGTTAGACAAAGAGTTGTAAGGTTGTGCTTAGGCAATGTATAAGGTGTGCTAAGGAAGTCAAAACCATGTAAAAAAATCCACCCAAAACATATGTTTTTTCCTCTGCTTCCTTTAAAAAGAAATTTTTAGTTTTGGTAGCAAGTCAAAAAGGCACACAAAAATCATGAAATTCCAGAAGCTGGAGTTCTTACAATACTATTAACTCACTCATACAGTACTTCAGTAGCATTTTTATTTCTGTTTTTCTTTCTGAGTTACAATCATGGTGCTTTCTTCAATGTGAAGTTAAAAATGTTGCACCATAAAATAGTTAAGCTGTGGATAAGCTTAGTGTTGTGGGAAGAATGCGCTGGAGTTTGCAGAGTTGAAGTCCCAGCTATTTCCACCTTAGGTTTACATCAGCATTTATTTTTACTACAGTTTAAAATATTCATAAATAATTGTATAAAAGTGTATTGTTTAAACTAATACATAGTAGCATAAATCAATATTAATCTACTTTATAGATATTAATATATATTAATCTCGTATATATTCTATATAATATCCCTATTTATCCCTTCCATATTTCTTCTGCTAAAAATGGCTAATTGAGAATTATATGTATTACTACATTATTTATATTTATAAAATCCATCTCTAAAGCTAAAATGATGAAAATTTGGTTGATTTATTTCAAATTAGCACAATGAGAATTGTCCTTTATGGTTCAAATTCAGTGCTTTATTATGTGCAATTTTTGACATTCTTTGTAGGACTGAAGACATTGTCTCAATTCCACTGTAAAGGCAGGTATAGACCCCACCAGCATCCTAGAAGGGAGTGACAGAGAGGTTCTTCTTGTGCCTGGCTATGGCTGAAGAACCAAAAAAACCCAGCTTTGCTAAGGGAAGTTGCTTTTCAGGCAGAACTGGGGAGCACATGGAGGGGGAATGAGTCAGACTGTGTCACCACCATATTTTTGTGGGGGGATGTCTTTGCCTTCACTGTTTCTACATGAAAAGGCATCGGCTGCTGTCTTTACTTACTTTGTACTTACTGTCCTTATTTACTTTGATAACATTATAGGAATATTTAATAACATTGGTAACATCATGAATGTATTTGGTGCTTCTTGTTAGCTGAGCATCCAGATCAGAAGCTGAATGCTACTGCATTTAGACTGGACAAAAAGCTTTAGGCGCAGAGAAACATCCTGAAAATTGCTCATTCAGGGCTTGTTTCAGAAAGGTTACCTAACTTGAAGCGTTTAAGCAGGTGGGGCCTGTGTTTTCCTACGCAGCAGAAAATACAGAGCAT